CCCTTTCCCCACTCTTATTCCATTAAGTGCTGTTTTTCAGTAATGTCCTTTTTAGTTGTGTTTTATAGCAGTCATACGGAATGTCTAGCTTTTTTTTTGTTGCAGAATTGGGCTTGGCAAAATTGGACTTGCTTCTAGAAGCCGCAATAAAAAATAGACCTCTACAATGTATTAGTTTAACAAGTTTTGTCCATTCACTAGTTGTATCTAAAAATATTAAATTCGATTCCGCTTGTAACCTCATTTTTGTATTTCGTTGAAAACAACGGTGATTCATTTTACTGTTCTCCCGATTTAGTGCTGGATTCGATATCGTGGACTTTGAATTGAAAACATATGAGCTTGATTCGTAACTCTTGCACTTGGATTTCAAATTAATTTTGATTTTGCCTTTAGTCATTTGTGTCAAAGGGCAAAATGACTTGAAAGAAAAACGAGAAAAAACCTGTACTTTACTATCTGATAAGCAAATTGGATCATAGGTACTATGGACTTAAATCCTTTCCAAAAACTTTTTTTTACTATTACTCATATATCAATGTATGATTTAAGGACCTGCCTATGCAAAAAATTGGAGGTTTGAAATTTCCATATTAAAAGCTGAAGCTTACTCAGGTACAGTTTGAATTGCACCAATGTTATCTCCTTATCTATATTTCTTTAAAAATGCTGGTAATCCTTTAATTTTTATAAATAAACTTATTATTAGAAATTCTAAAGGATTCAAAGTAAAAAAAAACGATTTGAACGTCATTTAAAAAATAACACGAACAATTTCCCTTTGAACGAAGTGCGTACGTTTTGCTTTTTTTGGGCGAAGTACGTCACAAGCTACGTTTTCTACCGTGCCATTCTAGCGCGTTCGAATGAATAGGCTAGTGGATTTATAATTTGTTGCACCGGTTCTCTCGTCATTTTCGCCAAAATTGTGCCCTATTAGACTTGTTCGGAAAATCTTCGCATTTTCTCTGACTACAAGTAAGAAATTGTATTCGTTCGGGCAAGTTCTAATGCAAAGTCAATTAATCCTCGACCGGCTGCAGGATTAGCAAAGTGATGGACATTGTAAAGCGTTGAGCCCCACACAAGCAAGCAAGCCTAGTCACAAGTATCACGTTCGCCCTCCCTCAGTCCCTCAGCTTCAGTTTTCTATTTGCTTTACTGCACTGCTCAGCTGCAGCTCTCATTCGATCAGGTTCCATCCTTCAACAATTCGTTTCTGCTTCTTCTTCTTTGCGCAATGTGTGCGTATCTGCACACAACTCTGCGAAATTTGCGCGCCGACACTGCGCGTTTTTTTCTATGTGTTCCAGTTTGGCGGGGCTGTTTCCAGAGCACTGCGCATTTTCATAGTTCGACACTGAACAAACTTTCTCTCTGACTGCTCTGAATCCCATCTGCAATAGTGGAACTAATGGAAATTCATTTTAGTTTCGATGTAGTCTAGTATTCCTAATTTGATGTGCGACTCTGCACACCGCGCGCCACACCTCATGATTTTTTTTCGGGAAAGAGTCCTTACAATTCGTTCCAATGACACTATCGTTGTAAGGGGTTAGTTACAGCTGTTTGATATTACCTGAGCTTGAAAAGCGAAAAAACACATGGAAATTCCCAGATGATGGCAATTCCTATGCACACAAGTCGTGAAATGGCGCAGTTAATGTGCAGTACACAAAACCAGAAATGACTAGACTATGTCCAGCAAATACACTTCAAGTTATGCGTAACTACCAAGTCGCTCAATATTTCCAATTATATCTCCCCTTTGAATCTTTTTTTTTTCGAAGAGATCTCGATAAGTGATTCCTTTGAATTCCACATCTTTATCTTTCTGAACCTATCGCGAAATGGATCATTACAGCATTTTAATTTTTTAAAGCTCAAAGTAAAGGCGGCTTATATACAAACGTGAACCTTTATTTCTTATTCTTATTCTTTATTTCAGTCAAATGTCACTCAATCACCTGGACACTTTTTTTCACGACATAGACTGAGTTTAAGAAAGTTTTCGAGCTGTAACAAGAGCTTTGTAGAATTATTTTCGATCTCATGCCATTTCGGTCCTTTAATGGATATCCTCCTTGTTTATCCTCTTTTTGACCTCCGGTTTTCCGATTTCAATTTCATGACAGAGCTTCTGTCACTACATCCAACAATTACGCCAAACGTTTTCTTCCTCAAAGTATTTTGAAAGGAGATCCTCAGTATGTATATAATGTAGAAAAGGACTCCATTGGATAAAATGGAACTCCTGAAAAGTAGTGAACATTTCACGTTAAATTATAATTTTTAATGGTTTGCGCAAAATTGAGGAATTTCCCTGTTTTGCAAGCTGAAAAGCGTCATTACAAAATTAACGAAAAAAGCTTGTATAGAAAACGTCGCTTTGGAAATTTGATACTCAAAAGCCATTTTCGTTCCTGGAGAGCAGTTCAAAGACGCAAGCATATGCGTGTGTACTTGTGATGTACTGGTGCCATTCTACGGCTATTCAATTTACGTCAATGTAATATTTGCTCCACAAAAACACGTACTCTTTTGCTTTTATGACATTTTGTATTTAACATTGAATTATAATTGATTGCTGTTCTTTGACAAAAATTCATGAATGGATAAGTGTTGCTAGGGAGCGCCAGTCCTTGCCCCAGCTTTTCGTAGAGAGTTTCAGCGAAATTTTTGAGAGCTAATTTGTATTCGAAGTGATTGTTTTTGCATACAGTGGGCAACGAAATGTTTTTGCTAGTGTATAAACATGTTTATGCTTCTTTGTTGTGATTTTTCAACCGGTCGTAGAGGGTGAAAAAACTGCTTACAGTTTTTCTGGCTGCGACTATCTCTGTTTTCTGTTTGTACAAAGGATCAACAACATTTCTGTTTGTTCTCGTAGCCTACCATCTTTTTTATTTTTGTCTGGCTTTGCTAGAATAACCTGTTTGATGCTTCATCGTGTTGTCTCCAAACCTTTGTCTCACGTTTTAGCTATTTTTGTCTGGTTGAAGATTCGTAGTAAGCTCCTGAATTTGATTACCATATGTTAAAGGCAGCGTCCAGGCAAATCTGGATACATGGGGCTCTCACGTGGAAAGCAATCTTCAGGCCCTAAATAAGAATCTGCCCAAGCGGCAGTTCAGATAGTGCCCCCGCGGCTAAGATATTGGGCTCCAAACTATGCCCCGTGACCGTATTCGCATGGATTCATGGCTTGGCACGTCAGCTTCGCGTGCATCCTCGCGCAAAAACGCCACGAATCCATGCGAATACGGTCACGGGACATAGTTTGGAGCCCAATATCTTAGCCGTGACTGCACTATCTGAGCTGCCGCTTGGGCAGAGTCTTATTTAGGGCCTCAAGATTACTTTCCACATGAGAGCCCCATATGTCCAGACTTGCCTGGACACTGCTCTTAATATCATATTGTCTTGCAAGATATCTCCCAACAAAAAAATAAAAATGAAACAGTAATAAAGCAATAATACTGTTTCCTCCCAGCCACTAGACCAAGAAGTATAGATACAACCTTCCTCGAAAGTAAATCCTAGCAAAACGCAAATTTTTCGTAACGGAATTTCTAAACGATGATTTCCTTTCACTAAAGTGCACCAAGACTTTTCAATTGTTAAAACATATGTTTTTCCGTGTTTCGAATTGTTCAATTGTTCTCGCAACAACTATTGTCCTCCTCAAGTCCCCCCCCCCCTCTCCTTGTCCAGGTTTGTCCGAAACCAGGCGATGCTGTGCAAACATGATTTTCACTATTCACAATGGCATTCTCGCGCCTGCATTTCATATTAGTCAAGTCCGTAGTACGAAACATTTTCGATGTTTTTTCTCGTACGTTTCCTATTTCTAGAAAATCGTATGAGCAGCTATCTTTTCAATATTTACGATTTAGGGCGTGACATTGAGGAGGCGCTGTGTGAAAATTAGATTCTCCTCAAACATCTGCGCCATTCTTTGCTTGAAAACAAGAGTCATCGCATTGCTATTTCTGCTGTCAAGCTCCAAATGTTCTCCGTAAGAAAAACCTAGCAGATTTATCTTTCACTGGAAGAAAAAAAGGAGAACTCTTTTTGAATTACGAACCTCCTTCCAAATAATAATTCGTATAACTCTCCTGCCACAGATATGATTTTAAACAATCTAGTGTCTCAATCAATAATAATCAATAGTCTAATACTCTAACTAATAATTTATTTCATGAAGGATATGTAATCGTTCACAAAACTGAAACTAACTACTGACCTGCTTTTCGTATTTTATGACTTGACCGGGATGAAACTTAACTACTGACGAGTAGGTAAAATAAATTTAAAATATGATAACTTGAAAAACCTAATGCTTTGTTTTGTTGATTGGTTTTTCTTGAAGACTACTTTTGTCAGGGGCAACACATACTAACAAACTGATAAATCTAGTGTTTTGTTTTGTTGATCGCTTTTTTGATAAAGACTGCTTTCGTTAGGGGCAACAGTGAATACTCTCAATAAATAGGTAGGTAAACAAATAAGTAAAAGTCTGAGTAAATCACTTCCTGACTTCTCGTCCATTATTACCTATCATTATACCTCCGTATAGCTTCTTTACTATCAGAATTATTTTTTTTTGCAATTTAATCCGATGTATCCAAATTTGTAAGACTCTCACACAATCGAACAATCTTCTACATACTTCATTCTCCTGCCTCAGTTTTATTTGGATTTTCGACCAATGTGTAAATCACATCGAAACACTGAAAATTAGGTCTCCTTCGTTGTGACCCTGTTTTCACTGCGACCACGTTTTTATACATTCTTTTACCCTTGCAAAGTGCCCGGATTCCTATAAATTCTTTTAAGCCTGTGTACAGTGTCCTGATACGAAATGAATCTTTTCTTTACGAGAGTTTCTATCCATTCCATTGTTTTTGAACGCAATTTCAACGCTTCGGTTTTCAACTTGTTGTTCGCGTTTCACTCTATGGTCGTCACTGCATAACAATGAGTTTTATCGAAATTTAGGTGAATGAATTCAATATCACGTGCGATCACTTCGCGTTTGAATGAAATATCCAACAAACGACATCGATTCGTCGGGGAAGAGAAAAGTTCGGATTTTGGTTAGTTTGGCCTTGTTGAAGGGAAAGTGAAAAATCTTGAATAAGTGATTTTGCAGCTAATCCTAGTTGGGCGTTTCCAACAACAAGTGATTTCAACTGCTATGATCCACCAGAGCTAATTATTTCCGAAGAGGAGTTCAACGAGGTTTGTGATACCCTCTGGCTCCTCTAAAAGTAAAATGCTCTCAAAATCCTGCTAAATTTTCCAGATTATTCCTCCTACGTCAGATTCGATAGAGCACAAGATCGAGGCAAAACCAAGCAATATCTCAAAAAAGGTTGCTTCATTTTCCCGCTTTTTCTGAACTAGTGAACGACTAATCCTATAGGTGCTAGATTTGCAGGAGCGTTCGCTGCGGGAACCGCGCGGTTTCCCGCAATTTCACTTTGGTTGGCGCTACGATTCTTTGTATATAGATTCATATGAAATAATTTTGATTAGGCACAACGATTGTTTATATATAGATCGCTTTCCAAACTTTGCGCAACGCTTTCGTAATTGAGAACTGATGAACAGAAGCTACCTCCCAGCTCACTCTGCGCCATGAATATTGAACGTAATATGATAGGCTTCATCAGAACCAAAACAGCTTCGTTTCGTTAGTTTTTAAGATCTCAGGTTACATCTGTTGTCCGACGGCTATCGCCATTTGGATGTAATTCGAACGGGTCCATTGAGAAGGAAAAATGTGACGAAAAGGGTGAAACTGTAGAAGAGAAGAAGTCGCAGAAGATTTTCAAGGAAACGGTGAGAATATCGAGCTTTTGATAACATTTTCATGATCAAAACATTCTGGTAAATTCCTATTTTAGCGTGAAAAAGTCGACAGGCTCAAGAAGTCGTTCAAAACGAATGAACGACAACAACTAATTGATTCGGATGAAGAACAATAAGTTAAGAATTTCTTGGTAAAGTGCAATCAGACAGCAGCCAGCCTTATTTGCCACTGTTGAATGGGTATGATTAGCATAACAATATAATGAAATGACAGCCCGGTCCAGCAAATTTCGCGATTGATTCTGCTGGGTTTCCCAAAATTATTTTTATTGCTGATTTTACATTGTAGATATGTATCGGAACTTCTTCTGTTGGGTTTACCGCTTTTTTCTCTGCTTTGTCCTAAAAATCCCTAATGATAACATTTTTTGAAGTCCATATGTATTAAATTGTGCCAATTCAAGAATAAATAAGTCATACACATCAGCATCTGCATAAAAGCTAGAAATGCTTTACAAAAGAGACTTTTTCCCCAAGTGCAGTTGTATTAACCTATTCATAATCTACAGGTAATTATTCTAACAATATTTGTGGTTCTTCCGATTTGCAGAGATTCCTTTTCAGTTGTTTAGTGTTTGGGCCCATTGTACCATTATGTATCTAATTTTGCGTTTTTACGCTTGATTTGAATAGTCTGAGATTCTCTTCATTGTGATTTGTCGCGATATAACTTTTTTGTAAACATCACAGTGAGAATAAATATGGCAAATATTCTAGCGTTTACTCTGTCTATTTTTTGTATCTCAATACCAGTTGAGGTCAAGATCAACACCGCATGGTCCCTTGTAATCTCCAGCATATTGGTGAATGGAAGGCTTGGACCAGCCACCGAATGGTACGAAGTTGGTGTAGTCCTGAAAATACGAAAAATTTATCTTCTTCTGAGTTATAAAAAAATTATTCAAGTACCTGGTGACCGTTGTAATTGGCCCACCATAGCGGTCTGCTTGCCCATTGGTTCCAGTTTATTCCGACAATACTTCCCCAGTTATTGTTATTGGTATAGATTCCCCAGTTAACACCCATGGCCTAAAGGTTAAGGATGTGAGGGCCAATGAGAGATATCAAAATTTTATAATTGCTCACATTCAGCTGGTTACCCATAGCGTTTATGAAATTCCTGTTGGCGTTTTGATCAGCTGGCCAGGCAAAGATTTCAATATCTAGCCAAATCATACCAAACTGGGCACCTTCAGCCTTCAAGCGATTCACGGTTGCCTCCACCTAAAGAACAAGTTTTAGAAAATTTCAGCATAAGACATGGCATTATCCCAAATCCACACAACAACTTACTTGCTGTGCAGGACCAGCACATGTGCTCCTCAAACAAGGGAAAATATAAGCGTCAACGTATTGCCATCCAGCTAAAATAACATTCTAATTAGAGCAGATTTTTTTAACTGAGCCTGTAAGACCAACCAGCACGTGCATTCTTCATGTTTTGGATTCCAGTCTCATCGTAGTTACCGACACTTTCCCATGCTCTGGCGATGAAAAAGCTGTAGCCGTTTTGTTTTAGACAAGTGAAGGTGGCGCTGGACATGGGCTGGAAGTTTTTTTTGTTTGCAGCCAAACATGATGCAATAATGTTATCATTTTCAGTTGGTATTAGACAGCAGGGTTCTAGCAAATTTTCAAAATTGAAGGTGATTTAACAAGGGCAAACATATATCTCTTTGTTGCCTCACTGGGTTGCGAATTGAGTCTGTTAACTTTATTATTTTCTCTGAAATTTTCCAGGTATTTTTCAAAATGTTTCGGATACTTTACAAGAATAAAGAGACTTGAAATACTAAATATAAAAATATAAAACATTCAAATAAATACAAAAACAACTTACCTGAATAGCATCGAGCCCAGTGGTGGCGGCAGCTGCGCCGAAAATCACCGTCAATACAGCAGCGTACCTAAAACCGCATCATTTTTTCGTAAAATAAATTTGAAATTTTTTTCAACTTACAGCATTGCGCGCAACAGGCTGTGGTTGCAGTAATCAACTTTATATGAGCATGCTTATCTTGAGCTTTGACGCATGTTGCGTTTGTAGAAACGTAACGTTATCAGCAGCCGCCGAAGGAAAAGCGACAATGCCTGATCCATTGTTTTCAGCAAAGACAAAGATTTTCTAAAATGTTACTGTCTATGAACGACTCTACTAACCCAACATTGAAACTCAGTGTAAAAATATACTGCATGGAAGAATCATCGTTCAACTTCACAAACATAATTACACCATAATTTTTGGTTCTGAAAAATGTTTGAACTTTGTTGTATGGTGTTGGTTCAGAGCTTAGAACTTCAAAAATTTTGGAACTGAATATGGTCGAATGCGCAATTTTACTAAACCTTCCTTAACTATACTGTTTGCCCAACTTGCTCGGCATTGTGAATTGTTATCTTTTCAATAATACGGAACTTGGCTTGCTTTATTTGGAAATTGCTTTTCGGCAGATTTGTTATATTCCCACCATGTAGGGTCTTTATGAAGGAAGATTTTTACACATTCACTCATTAATTATCCAATTTCGGTAAATCATTGAGTATTTAGCTAAAAAACTAACTTTACTCTTGCAACGTAAAGAATACAAAGAAGGTAAGATATTACAAAAAAAAGTTTCAGATCTGTGCCAAGCTCTTGGAATTTGACTTCTTCATATACCTGCTTTAACCAACTGCAGAGTCAACATAGGACCACATCAAAGCATATGAAAACTCATAAAGTCATGTGTTTATTAGCGTCGAAAAGCAGTAATTAGCAAAGTTCTGTCTTCCACATTTTGATTTTGATTTTGTGAAGCTGTTAGGGAAATTGACTTTTGAGATTTTGCTGCATTTCTGCTTTGTCTGCGGAGAAGCACGTGTCTAACAAGTAGCGATACGAAAACTTATGGTCTCATCACTGATAAGGAGATCCATTCACAGACAAAGAAAGCGAATTTGTCTAGTGATACCGGAAGCAAGATTAGCGATGGTTTTTAGTAGTCCTTGTAATCTTAGCTTTCATGATTCAGGGCATTCTTCTCCCCAAAATTTTAAGGTTAGAAGCTTGCAAAATCTGGAAACTACCCAAAATGTTTTCGGAGAGCTTGGCTGACGGCAAGCCAAACAATTTCACATTTATAGATGCAAATTTCAGTAAAATTTGTTATCCCAGGCAGCTAAACTCACTATGCCTTTTTCTAAACAATTATTCAATTTTCGGCGTAGAACTTGCTAGCCGTGTTTTTGGCATCGAAAAAGCTTCGACCCTTGAAATTCATGCTTTCACCCTTTTGTTGTCTTGAGAACCGTAAAACGAACTACGCATATATGTTTCTCCAAAACCTGGGCTGCTCTACAACTTATGCTCTTCTCGAGCGTTTCCTTGAAAATTAAGTGTTTCTGCACTTTAATCTTGTGATCTTTTTGCCTTGCAGTTCATGCAGCTCTGCCTTTGACTATAATACACACGAAGGAAGCTGTATTGATATTCACGCTAAGGTGAAGTGAAAACGGACGGATTGCTTACTTCTCCTGTTTTTTTAGGAAAGAAATTGAAAGAATGTGAATAATCGTGTTGAATAATTGTCATCTGGCTAAGTGTTTCCTCGAACTACTTATGTGTGCTTTTAAATATTGATGTTGTGATAGAAGTACCATGCCATGCTAATTTTAAACCTGATAAAGTGAGCTAATAAAACGATGCCGCATCTTTAATGTGCAGTGCTTTGGACAATCCAAATGAATCATAATGAAAAATTTATTGAAAATAAGGACGTAGAGAGCAAATTTGTAAGGGGTTTGATCAGTTAATCGGAAATGATTTCGATTTGATAAGTGACTGGAGCATATGATATGCTTTGGATCTTTCTGGGTCATGGTCATCATTTTTGGCATAGAAGGGATGAGAGTAATTTATAGTATAATCGTTGATTCCGCAGGTGCCTGTACCTTCTATTCGATCTTCCTGGTACAAGAAAGGTTGAGATATCCGCTTAAGAAGGTCATTTTCAGGTGTTAGTCAGCATAAGAATCATATCCACTCACTTTGTTACTTTCTTCCAACCAATATACGCCAGCTTTTGCCAACCAAATTGTTTTGTTTTTCCACTTATCCCAATCATCGCCAACAACGCTATTCCAGTGATGTGGGGTTGTGAAGAATCCCCAACTGACACCAATTTCCTAAAGCTACTAAATGAAGTTTGTTGCTGCGTATTTACACATATGAACTAAAAAACTGAAAAATTTTGGTCAGCTGGGTATTACAATGTTAGAATTGGGATTTTTTCGGGAAGAAGAGAACCCGTTACAAGTTTGTAGTTAAGAAATAAATCTAAACTTACATCTAGTTTGGTGGCGAAGAGATCAATAAATTCCCTGTTAAACCATTTGGTCTTTCCCCAGGATTTTTCTCTTACATCCAAATATACTCTAATATTGTAGGGAGCCTTTTCATGATGCAGACGCCATATGATATACTTAGCCTGCAAAAACTTGTGTTGTAACTTATATTAGCTTGCTCAAAATAAATTGTATGTATTAGGTTGAACAGAAAGTTCGTTCGCACCATATTCAAAAAATCATAACTTCTTTTATAATAATTTTGCGCATTTTAACTTTTATTAGAAAGCGCGAAGCACGTAGTTTCAAAAGTTCCTTGAGGACTTTCCAACATGCTCAGATTGCAGAGATAAAAATGAAAGAACGAGATGATCCAAAATTCAGAATTTTTGAGCAAGAATTCTAAAAATTCAGAAGCTGTGCGATAAAGTTCAGAAAAGCCGTTATCATAAGTTTTCTTATATTTGATTACTAACTGAGTCAAGTTTGTGCTGATCGAGCTCTTTTTTCAAAAGTTATGATTTTTTGAAAAAAGTGCCGAAAAATCAATTACTTAGGATTTCTTAGGAAATTGATTTTTCTGCATTTTCTTTCAAAAAATCATAACTTTTGAAAGAAGGGCTCGATCAGCACAAACTTGACTCAGTTAGTAATCAAATATAAGAAAACTTATGATAACGGCTTTTCTGAACTTTATCGCACAGCTTCTGAATTTTTAGAATTCTTGCTCAAAAATTCTGAATTTTGGATCATCTCGTTCTTTCATTTTTATCTCTGCAATCTGAGCATGTTGGAAAGTCTTCAAGGAACTTTTGAAATTACGTGCTTCGCGCTTTCTAAGTTTAAAATGCGCAAAATTATTATGAAGGAAAGAAGTTATGATTTTTTAAAAATGGTGCGAACGAACTTTCGGTTCAACCTAATATTAAGTTGGAAAGGGGAGAATATCATTTATGGCAAGCCAACAAGAGGAACCGACAAATGTATGAACAGTATAGTCCGATAAAATGAAGCAAAACTACAAGTAACCTGAATAACGTTACTAAGGCAAAGCTTGAAGAGAAAATTGACGAATTATTCAATATCAATATATCAAAAATCGAATTTTGCTCAAAAAGATCATAAATCTCTTATTTGAGCTTGCGTGTAGACACATATACGGACTCATACATGTTTACACTGTCATATTATTTCATGGCTAGAAAACGAGAAATAAATGGAGAATCTTGCAGTCTAACAGACTCAGACAGTCTTGTAAGTTTCTCCCATATATGCAGTTGCAGTTGTCTACAAATCTTCCGATAAACCGTAAAATTGTGGCCTTGTAAATTTCAAATTTTGTCAAAAAAAAAACGCAAAAATGAGACATTCTTCACTTCTCAACTTAATACTTGATCAATCAAGAAATTGATAAATTGGATGTACCTGAAGATAATCGGTTGGGCACTTTACCGTCACTGAAACAGGGGACTACGTAGGCGGCAACATGGAGGCCAGCTGAAGTATTACTTTCTTCTTTTGAAAAAAAATGAAAAAAAGGTAAAGAAAAAGCGACAATAGAGAGACTTTTCTTGTCAGTTCAGTTCTCTATGCAGTTTTGACTGACCTTCATGAGCATATTTCAAATTCCGTGCTCCAATTATATCAAATCCTTGCTGACCATTAAAGACTCTGGCAATGTAGAATGAGTAACCTTCATCCTTCATGCAACGAAATTGCATTGGAGTCAGCTGGGTTTGCGCCTAAAGAAATAAATTGCAGCATCTCACAATAAATTCATTCATTTGTAGCTCAGTGAATGCAAATTTTGCCGCGAACTATCTGCATCATCTATATATTCATGTTTTTGAAAAAAAACCTTCCAGATTAATTAAAAAATTGTTCTGTAAAATTTCGTGGCCATCAAATATATGCAATATCTTCACAGAGCATTTTTTGACAATTTTCCTCCGTTTGGGTTTTTTTTCAATAATATTGCAAATCAAATTTGCCAGGCTGGAACATTGACAAATTTTGCTCAAGAAAACCTTCAGCATACGAACATGCGTAGTTCACTAATTGAAACATATCTCTTATATTTGGATTCAAGTATTCAAAAAAGATTGCTCAAGTTTAGAGTTGTGGAGAGTTTTGCACACACATCTCACTGTGACCCAATGCGGAGTAACCTGCGAACAACAGAGAGAAAATGTATGCTTTGATCGAGCAACCCAACTGCCATTTCATTTCGCACATTATTATTTACACTTGTTTTTAGACTAGGCTTGGAATTTTGCTATATTCTACAATAGACTTGGGCCAAAGTCGGTATCCTACTGTTCTTCTCGTAAAATCTATGGTTTTAATGTGCATCGTTAGGCCTTCTTTCATAGTAGCTAAGTACAGTTGCAACAAATTCTATCAGTATTTAATCTCCAATTTTGTTTGTGCCGAACAGGTTTGTTATGGTGGTATTTTGAGGATTTTTGCGGATTGAACTAAGAAAGAGGTTGAAACTAGCTAAGCTAGAAGAGACATTTGATGGTCTGGTGCCATGGATGATACTTTGTCCCGTTTTTAGGCCTCTGAGGACGGCGAACGTGCCGAAATGTTAGGCCATTCGAAGATACCACCATAACAAACTTGTTCGGCACAAACAAAGTTGGAGATTATATACAATGCCCAGGTTTAAAAAAATAGGAACATTCAAGTTGTTTCTATGAGTATTTTCAAGCAAAATTAGACGTGAAGTCTGCAAAAAATTCGATCTTACGTATATAGTATCAAATCCTTTGAGTAGCTCAGCAATGGCGGAAGCGGTCATCACGAGATTGATAAACCAGGTGCATCTACATTGTACCATATCAAAGACAAAAACAAGAGCACTTCTAAGAAACTTACAGCATTTTGTACGACACGACACTATAGCTAATTAGGAAAACAGAGAGTTAAACCTCGTATTCTGCCCAAAGCACGTAAGCCTAGAATCACGTTCAAAAAATAAAGAATCTCATCCATGTTCTTGCCTTCAAATATGAGAGCCAAACACTACAATACAACAACACTATAATACTACAACTACAGAAAATATATGATATTAAAAGAATAGGATTGGCTTAAGAATGGTAGTAAACAGATCATTTTAGATTTAATTTTCAGGGTTACTTTAGGAAAAGCTGCTGGAGAAGATGAGCAGTAGGTTTTATGAGTCTAATTCTTGGTAGAAGAAATCATAAGAGAGCTAACCGTTTTCTTCCCGCAAAAATTCTTAATTCTTACTGCTAAAAGCCAAGAGTTTTTGCTGTTACTCACTTTTTATCATTCCCAATAGTTCAGTACATCGATAAAAGGATAAAGATCATTTTCGAGAAATGATTGTTTATCAACTCTCTCTGACCCATACAAACCACTCGACTAACTCAGATTTTGCTCGAAAAGTAAAAATAAAGCGTTGATGAGTGTTAGCAAAAAATACTTTTTGACATCCGAATTCAAGCAAATATGATAATCTTTGAACTCTTGCTAATTTAGTATCGTAAGCAATCATGGTGGTCGTTCATAAAGAAATGAGTTATTGAACGGTTTCTGATAGAAAGGGGCTGCTCCTAATGTGATCAGTAAAACATAGCTCGTTAAACTGAAAGATTTAATTTCAACATGAGCAACAAAACTGACTAATGATAATCCTGAAAATTTGAGAGAAAGCAACGCAAAAAGCTAAAATTTACATTAGAATAAGGTTTGGATAATTGTGATGTCAGCTTAGACTTCAACTGCCAGTTATGCTCAAAAGTTATTTAAAACACATAGATCCAGCTCACTCAAGCTGTCTGGCGCGAAATCAGTCTATTTATAGCAATTTGGAATGAAAAGTCAACAAAAAAAGACTAGAAATGGTCTGAAGTGACTAACCATTTCAAATGCCTCAACTTGGTAAGTGTTGGGTAACATCTTCTCATCAGTTTGTTTTCTCTATGTTGTTAAAGTGAACTTTAAATAACGTTGCCTACTCCATCCATAGAGTCACATAATTTTTTACAGTTCCTCCTGACATGAAGATGACTGCTCTAATCCATGGCAGTTTGCCATGACGGCATCCTTCTTCTGATAGCGCTTTTTTGAATGATTCATGCCAAAGTGTGACGATATCGGTTTTCTATGATTTTAGGATGTATTACGAAGAAGTTCAGCGAACATGGGCATACCTCTAAGGGGCACTGACTTATACGATTTTAGCCTGTTTTGTGAACATTTGGTTTGGTTTTTCGAGTTTCTTGAGTGTTTTGAATCATGGATACAGAAAACTCATCACCGGCAATGTGTCGCCGAATATATACTTAGCTTATTTATTGGCATCAAAATTTGTACATATCAAAAAATTCATGAGGAGGGAAAAGCTAACGAAGAGATGGCAAAGATACAAAACCGGAGTCAGACGGTTCGCAAGTCGAGTAACGGATTGATCTGAGAACATCAATCTTTGGAAAAAAAAGCGGTAGAGTAGCAGGAGATGAGAAGTATTCACCATGGAGAGTATGGTATAAAGCTTGGCGCGAGGTTTCGCTTGATAACTTCTCGTGACTTTGCAAAAATGCCGTGCCTTTTGAGGTATAGATATATAAGACCAAAACTAACTACAAACCTAAAGTCGTACTCAAGCCTAGGGTGAAATTTTATTCCCGAACTTTGCAAAAACCTCCTTTACAGTACGTTGTAGCAAAAATTTGTTTTATCAGGCACACCATCAAGTGAAAGGAGTTCTGTGAAGACTTGGGACGAGCTTGACGACGTGGTACTCCATTCGACGCCAGGTGCATTTGCTTAGAGTTTCATGGTCTACATTATAATTGAAACGACAGAAAAATCTCGTCGATCGGTATCGAATAATCGGCTTTTGAAAAACATTCGAACGAAAGAATATTATTCGATCTATGATTTTCAGATTATTCGAATTTGAATATTCGGATAGTGCTACATTTCAAAATTCGAATGAACGATTATTCGAATAAATGGGGTTATAATCGAATAAATACATATGGTCGAATATTACGTAAGTTCAACCAGTACATGTATCAAGTTTTTCGTAGCACTACTTTTTTCTCAGAGAAAATACCAGGTTTCCGAATTTCTGACGTACGCTGTACATGTATAGACAAGTAATACAATATACCATATGCATTTACAATTGGTTATCTTACATCTATTTCTCTAGAACAATGTGCAGCTACCCATGTTTGTGCTCAAACATCTAGGGAAGCCTTATTAGAGAAGCTACGACGTCTTCTGTATGATCAACTTTAACTTAGTGTTATACTAGCATTTAGAGGCACCATTCGGGTAGATTTTAAGTCACATGAGCAAGTGTAGCTAAGTCTAGGCCCTGTTTACTTAGGTCAGGAATAGGTTAGATTAAATTAGTTACATATTTTAGGTTTTTCTAGCAGTCTAGTTTTTTATCGAGTGTATAGGACCATAGAGCGTAGCTGTGAGGCATACGCTGCACCATATCTCAGGTTGCTGGCCTCAGGTTGTTAATTCTTTCGATTGTGATCTCATCTTTGTTTTGCTCATTCTTTCCAGCCTTTCGTTTTCTCTTGTTATTGTTCTCATATTTTTGTTGTTATCAGCTTCTCCAGTTTGTCAATTTTGATAAACCATTTTTGTTTCAAGAGATTGTGCTGGGTCAGTGGGACCTGCGGATCTGTCCGCCCGTTACTACAAGTATTATGAACTCGATCTAGAATTACTGCACAGACCCGGCTTCCAAATAGTTCTCTAAGGAGGTTATAGGCAAACCACTGATTCATTTGAATTCCCCCATGTAGCAAAGTTTGGCTGGTTGGAGTTCGATTTGAGTCCCACGCGGGTTGTTTGATACCTCAAACTTGAGTAACTAAACCTTTATTTTGAATTCTACTAATATACAACAGGTACGGTATGTATGCTATACAAATGTAAGCTTGGTGTTAATGATAGGGATGAGACTAACTCAAAAGTAGGCTTGGGTTAGTACTACTACTACAAATACTCTATAACTACTATCCTACACTTGTATTATACCCCAACTATAGTGCTCGTATCCGTCATGAACCCCTTCGTGCACCTATACTGTATACTGCCGCCCTTCCCCGAAAACTTGTGGAATGAATGACCCAACTCTCGAATCGACCGTTATTTATACCCCTCCGGCGGTCAAGGTCCAATGACTGGTCTCCTTGATTTAGATCAGCGTCGTTCTAATTTTATTTATTTATTTATTTATTTATTCAATACGCACAACGCGTGCCACATTTGGAACAAGTAAAACGAAATAGTAAGTACCTTACAGTAGTGAACAACCAAAAGAGAAAAAAAAATCCACCAACAGCCCAAGTCTAGCTCTCAGGTATGTAGGAATAAGGGGATTAAGCTTGTATGGGCCTTGTATGATTGTATCAGTAAAATGCTCTGTGGAGTCTGTCTCATGCCTCTTGCTTGCAGCAAAAGTGCTCTTAGATTATTCAAATTTAGCAAATGTATTTGCGGGGACCGTATAGGTTTACAAATTTGCCCGACTGATTCTGGGGAGAGAACAGAACTCCGAGATAAGAGGTTATAAAATAAAATAATGAACAAGCCTAACAAGCTATTCCCAAGTAGCAACGGAATGGATGAACTGGACCCAAACCAGCATGTAAAGTAATGATCGAAACAATAAGCAAGTTGAAATTTCACGACCGCAAATATATTAATCTGAGAAGTTATCACTAGGAGACCTTCTACGCGATATGTGGGAGAACGATAGAGTTAGTCAGATTATAGTACTGGGGCAGCCCAAGCGACAAGCAAAGCAGCGAGCGTAGGAAAGTACGGCAGGCGAACGGCAGCACTATACGAATGACGAGAAGCAGTCATCTGGAAGAAAATCGGTCAAATTCAACTTCTTGAGTCTACGTTTGAAAGTAAGGCTATCTGGAGAAGACAGAATTTCTTTAGGTAAACACTGGAGATACTTTGAAGTGCGTGTAAAAAAACTGTTTCTTGAAAAAGAGTTTAGTTGTTTCCGCATACCATTTAAATGTAAATAAACAGAAAAACCAGTAGTCCTTCCGTGACTAGGCCTGAACACCCAGTATTTAGAAGGTCTTAGTCTAGTCTCGCCTTTAAAAATCCTGAAAGCAAGTATTATATCATGCATGATCCTGCGATGTAGTAGTGAGGCCTAGGACTTTCATTCGTTCATCATAGCTTGGAAGCGATCGTGGGTAACCACGACTGGGATAGCATGTATAGAAAAGCAAACGAGTGAAAACCTTCTGGACGTTCTCCAGGGCCAGCTTGTGCTTCCTCAGAAAAGGGCTCCAAACCTGACTTGCATATTCTACAGTAGGGATGACAAATGCCTTATAAAGTTTCAGTAATATTTTGGGATCAGCTGCTCTTATGTTGCGAAAGATGGCGTACAAAACTGAGAATGAGCGAGAGGTGATGTTTGAAATTTGCAAGTCTGGTCTCAAGGTGCTATCGAATACAACACCTAAGTCTTTGATAGATGTTTTGTTGACTAGGGAAACTCCCGCATGCTCGTAGTGTTCGTCACTTGCAGCGGAACCAACATGGAATACAGAGCTTTTATTTATATTCACTGAAATGTCCCAATCTGTACACCATTCAACCATGTTATTGATAGCACGCTGCAAGGAAACTTTAATTGTTCTCTGATTATCCCTATCGTATATGCCGTAAATTTTAATATCATCGGCATACATGAGCACATGTATGTCAGGATGAGTTTTTTAAATTTGGGGTAACTCAGCAGTACAAACTAGAAATAGCAATGGTGAAAGGGCCCCGCCCTGTGGAAGTCCGCTAGTACAAGGAAAACGTCCAGAATGATCTCTTCCCACCCGAACCGGCATATATCTGGAGTGCAGATATGATTTTAGCCACTCAAGCAGGGGTCCTCTGATACCATAGTGCTCAGGCTTATATAACAGTTTACCATGACTTATACGGTCGAAAGCTTTCGACAAATCGAAGCATATGACGTCCACTTCCTTCTTATCGAGGTGTGCCTTAATCCAGTCATGATTGCAATCTATTAGTTGGGTTACAGTGGATGCACCACTGACAAACCCATGTTGTTCAGCGGGAATGAGATTAAGCCTTTCCAGCCATGAAAGAAGTTTGTCACGAATTATCTTTTCCAGAACTTTACATGGTACTGGATTTGTACTTATAGGCCTGAATTCTGTCACAGATTGAGGTTTGGGAACTTTTGGAACTGCGGTGACAATTGCTTCTTCCCAAATGTCAGGTATTTCTCCACAAATAAAACTAATATCAAAGATATGTGACAAGGGGACAGAGAGCTCTCTGGCGCAACGTTTGAAGACAATCTGAGGTATGCCATCAAAAGGTTCAAATGTAGATTGTTTCAAGGTTCTAAGAAAGCTTTCGACAGTAGAAGGCATGATCATAGGTGCTGAGCAGGTATGGTTCAGAGGTGCACCCAATCCCTTAGTGCGAGGAGTACTTGTGGAAAACGTATTTGCAAAAAACTCGGCTAATGCTGAAGCCTTGGACTGATTTGTTAGACTTTGTTCTAATGAAGTGGTGCCTCAACATCCTTTTGTACCGCAACAGTGTTGTGTAGGCGTGTAGTTGTTTCGGTCGGAGATGTCGTTGCAAACAATCTTGTGGAGTCGTTCTGGAACTGTGAGTCACATTAACTTGTGACCTACTGATGAGATGGTTAACTTGTATGAACTTGCTCACTAGTTAACCAATACTTCCTTGCGGGATACCAGTTCCTTGCATACCGTACACTTGAGATATAATATAGAATTTATCAAACAGCAACAACAATAACAATAACAATAGGTATAAACAGAAACAAACAAATCATCAATATTACAGCATCATCTATTCTATGGTCGACTTTGGCAACATCTCACGTCCGTTCAACGCCAATCTTCTCAAACAAAACCTCTTAGCCCTTGACGTGGCAAACAAAATCGAACACATATTGTTATCTATTGATGCTTGTTTCAAACAGAACTCTGTAGGTGTGCTTCGGTATAGCTGGGACCGAATACTCGTTTACGATAATACTAGGACAGACAGACATACAGCTGGCCATCCTGGCTCCGCCCGATCCCGTCAATAGTATTCCTAATTAGTTTACCCCCCCCCTCTCCCGCTTTGCAAAAGAGAGATAAAATCGATATCGATAACTGACGAAAAGTAGCCTACGACACCCGCCGCTCCGAAGTGTATGTGTGCCAAGTTTGATCCGGGTCGGTTCAGAAATAGAGATTTCCATTCGGAATATACGTACGCATAGATATTCATACATGCATACAGACAAACAGACATTCAGCTTTATTTATACAGATATTCGGATAGTCGAAGAAACGAATAAGGCCCTTATTCGTATATTCGTTCATTCGAAGACTCGGAAATATGACTTGTTCAAACTTTCAAAATAATGTGAAGAACACTCTTTCTAATATTCGAATATTCGAGCAGGTGAAGGAAGCGCATATTCGAATGTTCGAATGATAAACACATCTCATTCAAACTTTCGATGAAAGAACTTTAGCTGCTCGCGAAATGAGTTCAATATTCGATCAGTCATTCAAATGAATAATCAGATGACGGAATGGCTGGCATGTTCTTTGTTTTTCGAGCGCATTATGCCAGAGCATAGCGGAGAGAAGTCTTACGCACAAGTTTGCTTGAAGTGATTCTACAGGAAACTGTTTGCAGCAATTTGAGATGCGATATTAAGAGCGCAAATACCTTCAGCCTCTAAAATCCTGGCTGTAGAAGCAAATGCCGCCCTTGGGAACCGCTGTTTCTTCTTCGGTAAATCCTTCACACAGCTTGCTAACCATTTGCGGAAGGACCAGTAGTCCCTAAAAGCAGCACTTATTGGCAACATTCGTCTCTTCAACAAGGCCCGAGGCGGGAGCAAGGACCTGAGCCGCTGGACTTGTTACGGCAGCTTATATGTCACAAATGATTCTCAGGAGCCTTTATAGCCACACGGGCGTATAACCGAATATTTCGTGTTTGAGTGTTGCAAAGTTCATCAAGAAATATTACTCTGAATAGTCATGTAGGTTGGACAATCTTGAAATTATATTTTGACTTGAGCACGAGTAAAGGATGGGGAATATTAAAAAATTTGCCAATACCACGATAGAAGCTGTAAAACACAACGCTGTATGCCTTCTTTGTGCTCTTCTAATATAGCTTCAGAATCGCAGCGCGATGCAGACCATCACCAATGTATTGTAAATAACTACCTAATCCAAAAGCTTTTCCAGATAAGACTGGTAGCTTTGGGAGGAAACTCCGCTGAAGTAGCCTAGGTACAACATTGACAAAACGACAAGCAGTTATCTTCTTTACTCGGTAATCATTGAGAGATTAATTTTTGAACTCAAATCAGCTACAAATCGTAGAAATATAGCAGCAGATTCTTGTTGCACTACAACAAAAGAAAAATCCAGCATTGTCTAAGTCATTAGATTATTCGAATGATTCGAATAGTCGAATACACAACTAACTTCATTTATCAGAATACTCGTTCATTCAAATTTTGGAATTTACAGTCGAATATTCGAGTTGGAATAACCTGAAAATCGCGATCATATAATATTCGTTCGTTCAGATATTTTTTCGAAGGTCGATTATTCAGTAGTCGTTCGGACAAAATTTTCCGGGCATTACATATATGAGGCTGGTTTAAGAATCTTTTTTGCACAAAAATCTGTGTGAAATTGTTCTTGTCAAGATCATAAAGTAATCGTTCAAACCTTTATTATTCAATCAAGTCGAATGAAATTAAGGTCAAGGTTAACTCCACATGGTCCGTTGAAATCTCCCGCATATTGCTGAATGTAAAAATTTGACCATCCTCCAAAAGGAGAGAATTCGCCCCTCTAAAACATCGATGTGGGTGAGGTGAAGACCGATTAGAAATATATCATAACAACTTACTCGTGTTCCATCGTTCATTCCCCAATAGGCCCACCAGAGTTTTTTATGCTTCCACTGATCATATTCTGAGCCTACGATACTCTTCCAGTTATTTTTGTTTGTGTAGATCCCCCAGTCGACACCCATTCCCTGAAATTCCCGAAATAGGTCTTAGAAGTGCATCTCCGTAATTCTCACTTGCATCACATTGTAGCTGAACCTTCAGAGAAATTTTTCAATACTTGATTCGCTAAGCAATTGGACTGTTTGAGACGATTCGTGAAAAGCTTACAGCACAGCTTGCGTGTAGATTTTCAATACCACTCAAAGAATTCAAAAAATGTTTGTTTAGAGTGATTCAGAATAAGTGACTCAGAAAATGTTTTTTGCATGAGTTAGCCGTACTAATCAAATGTTTTTTTATTGACAGCAAACTCAGAGCAGCTGACGTGAGGGTGTCTGTTTGGGAAAAAGTTAGAGTCAAATGATGGTACTTAGATTTTAAAAAGGTCAACTCAAAACTTGTTAGATCAGGAATGAGATGAGCTATGCATCCGAACTTTGTATACTTACATCTAATTTGTTGCCCATAGCATTGATAGTATTTCGGTTGGCTGCGTGATCATTTGGCCAGCGGAATATTTCTATATCCAGATATACCGTATCAAATGGAACGCCCTCCGACCTCAAACGATTAATGGTCGCCTCAACCTGCAAATTTTAGCTCTTTTACACAATGACATGTGTATATGAATAGGATTTAATCTAGCGTGCAAGTTAAAACTGCCAAATATCGAGAGCCAAGAATTTTCACGAACCTGATTTTGTGGAGGCGCACAATGCTTTGCCAAACAAGGAAAAATGTAGGCGCTGACTTCAAAACCAGCTGAAATCATTCATATTTTCAGCCTGCTGTCAGAGTAAGTAAAGGTGAAAATAAGTAAAGAGGAAATTAGCTCAGCACAAACAGAATGATCACAAACCTTCATGAGCATTCTTCATGTTCTGCATGCCCTCCATATCGTAATTTCCTGTACTTTTCCACACTCTACCGATATAGAATGTGAAACCATTGTCTTTTAAGCAGCGAAAATTGTCCGTAGATAACTTCTGTAAGCATATATCATACATTTTACTGTTTGATAAGCAGAACAGATTCGTTTTTTAATAGACTTTGACATCTGCATTACACTAGCAACCGATATCATTTAATTGAAGAGTGAAAAAAACCGTCGACTGCTAGGGACCATTTAGTCGCTGTCTCTCTCAAGAGGTTGTTCACGTGAGTATGTGAAATCTAATGACAAAGTGCGCTTGAGCGCCTTTCTTCATCCCTTTCCATATGTCAAATCTAGGAGTACCTCGAAACCAAAGACGCGCTTTTCCAATAAGCCTGTTAATCCCTTTATTTCTCTGATTTATTAAGATTGCAACTGCTGTTTTTTACTGTAATAAGAAATCAACGAATGGCCTTGTAAGAGCTCGTCAGTTTCACGAAGTTTTTCGGCGGAGTGCGAGAAATCAGTCATCTTTGCTTTTATGCCCGCCTAACGTCGCGAATGTCTAAGAAACGGCCAAACTGTTAATCTGAGAAACGGCCCACAACTGTTAACTGCTTTTCTAGCAAAATTCATAGAAGATAGAGCATACTCTGACCTGTATAGTATCGAGCCCTTTGAATGCGACGGAGGTGCCGAATAAAGCCGTCAAAAGAACGATCCGAAAATGTGCGCATGTACTCAAGCATTTAAATAGCCAAGAAAAAGCTTACGACATATTCCAGCATTTTCACATTCAAACCAAGAGCGTTTGTCGCTTAGGTAGAGATTGAATTTACACAGACACACCTGCAATGTATCAAAATGATGGCAAAAAGATTTTTCACTCAACTGATTTCGCGAGTTGAGCATCTTTCTTAAGGTGTTTATTTTTTGTAGAAGAAAAAGGAAAAACGTGAGAATGATACAACAAATATACCATAATATATACAAATATACAAAATTTGGTGCAGATAGAGAAAAGGGATGATGCTCACTCAGTAATGGTCTCTGTTACAGCTTGCTAGATAGACATAATCAGATAAGAAGAACAGCGAGACGGAAAGTTCATCAAATTTGATTTTTAGTGTCTAGAACCGTAAGATACATGACCATTTTTTTCCCAGCTATGAAAAAACTTGTGCTGAATGATTGCCTTTCGATATTCAATTTTCTAATTTTTTTATTCGTTTTCAACATGTATTTTAGGATGAGGTATGATGAATGTTATTTGTATAAATGTTAATAGACACTCAGTCAATAGATAAGCATTAGGTTGAATAATTATATCGGGTGTCTCAAAAGTATGTAGACTTTGATTCAACTGGCTTGGCGGCTAGAAGGCGGGGCTTCGTGACCCACAAGGCCGCTCGCACCTGCGACGCACCTGCATCTCTCTCTCTCTCTCTCTCTCTCTGATCATTAGTAGCCTTAATTGGGTCACAAAGCCCCGCCTTCCAGCCTCCAAGCCAGTGGAATCAAAGGGTAGACGCTGACTGATTGTTGAAATATCTCTTCCTCGTGCCTAGTAAATATGTTAATTTGCTCTTGGAAAAGTATGAGGCGCTGCCGTACAACCGATATGGTTTCCCATAGTCAAAAAAACACGGAGAGGCCGTACAATTCATTTTAGTAAATTGAGCTTTAAGGCAGGCGATTGCTTGGGGGTCTTGTGATTCTATGAGGAAGAGACTTCTAATTGAGCCACAGTTCAAGAAGGAAAGAATAACGAGTTGAACGGATTGTGAAGAGACATCACTTAGAGCAGCTTCAAAAATCTCAATTCTACCTTTCTTATCTGCTGAACGCCTTAAGAGAGGTTATGGGCCGTTCAGGTGCTATGAAGATCAGCTCAGAGGAACAGAGGCGAAGTGATATTGAGTATATCAACAACAAGAAAGGAACACATTTACTAGGAACCAAAAAAAGTTGCTATCCCAATTCAGACTTTGAAACCAGCATGAGTTATTCTAGAGAATCGTTCAGATATGAATAGTTAATTTGGATAGTGTAAACTCAAATCTTACTTGCTCGCTTTCTTGGTAATGTAAGCGCAGGAGGTGGGTACACCAAAAGGGAAAAGAGGGTAGTGCTCGGGGCATTGCATCCACTTATAAGTTGGTTACAATGTTGTGACTAGCAATATTCCACCCGCTTTTGTTGTCGAAAATTGCTATTTGCTCTTTGACGCATGAGAAGGAAGGAGACAGATGACATGTTCTGCTATGAACTTACAAAGCTAAAGTGCTGAAAATTTATACATTGAAACGCATGAAAAGTAGTCGTTGCCAGATGGATGCCGGTGCGCATTTGTTGTAGACCTTGAGAGACCTCCGCTAATTCCAAACAATACAGGGTTGCACTTGACTTGCTGCTCAACGCATTAGGGCTGAAGACAGTTTATGTATAGAGCTGAAAAGAAAAAGAAAATCCTTTCAAAAAATACTATACGGCGAACTCTGCGTAAGCGCATCTATGACTAATCATTACGTGAACGTGCGTCGGTTTTTCTCGTCCATTGCTTTCTCCGTTTTATTTTTCAACGTAAGAGGCCTCCAGCTGATGTATTAATGCAACAAACAGAGATGTACTTTGTAGCCACTGACGAGCGCGATGACTGCTCGATGTTTTAATCTCTATGATCATCACTTGCTTTAAAAACTAATTCAGTCATTTAGTTGATGTGTTCAAAATCTGATACTATCAAGAAATCGGTAATTGGACGAACGTGGTGGTTGCAAACTCATTACGGCAATGAGACCCATTAGGCCCCAAAGAAGTTGTGACACATCTGGTTTGTTGCAGCATTCATGATACATCTTATTAAAGGCAGCGTCTAGGCAGATCTGGACCTACGGAGCTTTTACCATTTGATTCAACTGGCTTGGCATCGGCAAAGGCGGGGCTTCGTGACCTAATTAAGGCTAGGTAATGATCAGAGAGCACTCGCGCGAGAGAGACGCAGGTGCGTCGCGGGCGCGAGCGGCCTCAGTTAGATAACAAAACCACGCCCTAATGGTGCCAAGCCAGTTGAATCAAATGTTACGTGGAAAGTACTTTTGAGGCCCTAACTAAGGCACTGCTCGAGCGGCAGCTCATGTAGTGCTCTAACGGCTGAGATATCCCCCTCGGAACTGGCCCCCGCGGACGTATTCGCATGGATTCATGGCAGTTTCGCGCCAGGATCCACGCTTTGCGCCATGAATCCATGCGAAACACGGTCGCGGGGTCCAGTTTCGAGGGAAATATCTCAGCCGTTAGGGCACTACCTGAGCTGCCGGTTGGGCAGTGGCTCAGTTGAGGCCCCAAAAATACTTTCCACGTAAACCATAGGTCCAGACTTGCCTGGACGCTGCCTTTAATAGCAGAAAAATGCTGAGCTAGTAGTTTGAATGGAACCGCATTTGAAGTATGTTAAGAAAAGTAATTTAAGGAAAAGCCATGATTCTTGCAGCTCTATAACTGTGCACGCTCCGACGACGTTCTGGGTTCGTTTTTTTCTATTGAATAGATTCATTTCACTTTCCAAGCATCAAAACCTAGGATTCCAGAGCAAATTTAGCACATTCACGATCCAGCCATTTTTTTTCGATTTCTGCCATTTCGCACCAGAGCGTGTTTTGTAAGCAGTAGATCGGCAGAATGAGTCCCGTGGCAAACGAGGTCACAGGGTAGGAGCCCCCATAATGGAACCTATTGGCCAAAGTCCGATCTTTCCCTGCCACTTGTAATCCCCGAAATTTCAACGCGAAAGCAGCGCTCATCTCTTCCCCTCTCCGACCCCGCCCACCCCATACACGAATGACTTACAGAGCGCGCATGCCGCAATGCTGTAAGCATAAGGGTCCCGCAACGACTCTGCGTCTTCGCCACGGCTAGCTTCGAGTTCACTCGTCCTTGAGGTGGGCGGGGTTGGAGAGGACAGGAGATGAGCGCTGCTTCACCTTTGAAATTTTGGGAGTTAGAAGTGGCAGAGAAAGACCGAACTTTGGCCCACAGGTTCCATTATGAGGGCTCCTACCCTGTGACCTTCTTTTGCCACGGGTCCATTCTGCCGACGCATTGCCTTTGAGGTCCAAGATGGTAGTATTCTTGCTTTAGTCGTGACCTTTGCTAGTTGGAATACCCGGCTTTGCTTGGCCTCTGTCGATGTACCAAGCGCAACATTCAAGTAGCTGACCCATCTTTACACAATTCTTCGCCTCATTATCTCTTCTTGATCGGTATCATCATTTGTCCCCCAATCCAACGTCCCAGTAGCCGTGAATAAAGTTTTGCGAATTAACATTGAGTTTGTAAGGCTGGCTTCATAGTGATCCGTAAGTTCAGGAACAATTGTTCCGTAGCTTACGGACCAGTATGAACCCAGTCCAGTAGGCTCACTGACCCTCTTTTACAGTCGAGTAGATTTTCTGCTTAATATAGTGTGCTTGCACAGAAGGTGAAATGCGGTAAAATTTGCTCGTGAGGAAATAGCTTCGACTGTGACGCCGGCCAATTGCGCGCGCAAAATGCCGGCAGTGCTGACGCAGCTACCTGTTCACGCGCAAATTTTACCGCATTTCATAAACTGTGCAAGCACACTATATTAAGCGGAAAATCTACTCGACTGTACCAAAACTCGGCGCCTCAATTCTAAGTGTGCTGAAGATCAATAAATTCTAAAAGTTAGAACCTCCATTTTCCTATGGCCGTATTCATAAACGTACTCTGTAAGATATACGAGAGCGTATAACCGTATGTTCAAGCAATTGACTATGTTGCAGATACCATGATTAAGCCGAATTCACAACATACCTGAGAATACTATGTTGCGGTATAACGCGCTGGCACAAGGTGCCAATCTTATATTAGGTCGTTTCGAAAGTAATGTCGCTTTTTTCAAACGTATGTCAAATCTCGTGGAACAAAGATATGGAAGAGATTTTGGTAGCATTTGATGCAGCATTTCATTCTCTTTCTAATGATTATATAACCGCTGCACAAAATTCAATAACCTTTCGAAAAATTATCAAAATCTGCGACCCATGCTTTTTGAGAAGGCCAATTTCACAATTTTTCTAAATTTTTATAACAATCCTCAGAAGAAGTCCAAGTGATGGATGGATAGAGCAAACCCTACAGGAAACAGCACAACGTTTTTCTACTTTTCAGAGCTCGTCTTAATTTTTGTATAGATTTTTTGATGGAGCCACGGAATTTTAGCAGGTTCGTCTCAGACACAAATGCATCAAACACCAATAAATTTTCGGATTTTGAAACTTACAAAGGTGGATTATGGTCTGACACTAAGTTTTCAAAGCAAATGAGCGTTTACTGTTTCAGATTGGCAGCTTTCGGAAATTTCGGGTGCAGCCTGGGGCGCCCTGGAAAACCTGAATTATGATGATTTTTTCGGGAAAACTTTACGAATCAGAAACCAAAAACAGCTGGTAAAAAGAGGATAGAAGGCTGCTTCGAATGACATCCGAGTTGCTTGCCGGATGTTGTTCTGTGAGATTTAAATTGATTGAATATGGAATTTGATGGCATTGAAAAATTGATTACAGAAACTCTAAGAAGCAAGCTAAGGCAAAGGAACAAATTACTCTGCGTCCTATGGGGTTTTCTCTATTTACCTGTCACTTGTACTTCTTCGGAAATTAGGTACAAAAATTTTGAAAAATAGCCAAACTTGACCCTGGCAAAAAGCATAAGTCGCATATTTTGGTAATTTTTTGACAGATCATTGAATATTGTGCAACGAAATTACAGCCATTAGAAAGAAAATAAAATGCTGCATCGAATGCTCCGAAGAACTCTTGAAAATCTTGATTCCATGAAATGTGGCGTTCATTTGAAAAAAGCGACATTACTTTCGGAACGACCTAATATATAAAGCTGAATGTCTGTTTGTCTGTCTGTCTGTCTGTCTGTATGTCTGTCTGTATGTCTGTACGTATGTTCCGAATAGAAAATTCCATTTCTGAACCGATCCGGACAACTTGGCACACATACACTTCGAGCCCCGGCGGGTGTCATAGGCTACCTTCCGTCATCGATCGAGATCGATTTTATCGATTTTTTGCAAAATTGAGCTACAGGGCTGAGAGTTGGCACAGGGGGGTAATCGAGCATGCTGATTACAAATATATTATCGAGAGGGCCGGGCGGAACCGGGTAAGCCATCTAGTTCAAGGTAAATCTAACCTTGCTCAATGCTACGGTAGGATCTATTTTGAAGCTCAAGGTAAATTTTACCCGGATTGTGTTCGTGAATACGGGTTAATTATTCAGGGTATGGTATACGCCCTCAAGGTATGTTTTACCTCAGCGTTCGTTAATGAATATGGCTAATCGTCTATCGTCTAGAACTTATTTATTTGCATTTATGAAAACATTCCACAGGTTTCCTTTTCTGCAGAATGCAAACCGAATAAGATCAAACGTGTTGGATGATGCTTCATGAAAGTCTTTCAGAATCTTACACTGTGATATCGTTGGTATACTTATACAAGCGACAGCTCAACCTCAACTCAACAGCCTTCACTCGCGTCATGTTCATTCGTAGCAAATGCTATACTTTCTTGATACGAGCTCGAAATTCTCTCATCACCTTCGATTACGCGATTCAGTTTCAGTACTTCCGACCAACGCATTTCACCTTTAGCGTTTTTACTTCATAAATTACTACAACGCCAAGCCAGGGCGAAGCCTCCATTCTCATATCCAGGAGATTCGTGGTAGTGATTGATGCAACACAGTTATAAATAGACTCCCCGGATTGATGGGGTCGGGCACAACCACTAGAATGTCAGATCGCCGTTGTATGAAGGGTTGTGTTCGACTTCATCCTATATATAAATCTTTTCCTTATTTTTATATCAATTCACATAACAGTCGAATACGCAAAATTACATAGTGAGAATCGGGGCAAGAGCAGTTCATTATATTGAATATCTGCAGACTGTAATTGATTGTAAGATTCGACTTCGAGTATTCTACCTCATTTTTGGGCGTAAAACCGCATCTTGTTTGCTTCAAATGTGCACGCGCCTATAAGTACGCGTGGCAGCTTTTAAGCTAAAGCTATCAACTAGATCAAGTGTAGAGTTTTGTAAGAACATTGCGACTCCTCCTCGACGCACATGTGCAGCGAAGCGCATGGATCTGCTCTTGTCCGAAGCAAAACGGGTAAGGGACGCCCAAAGATGGAATAGAATCATATGTGAAAGTTATCAAGCAAATTTATTGGTATAGAAGCACTACACTATTCTCAAACTTGATTTCCTTAGTTACGTTCGTGTTCACAGAAAGCTTTAGCCCTTTATACTCCAATTATGCGTAATAGTCAAGATCAAGCTCAACTCCGCATGGTCCGTCGAGATCGCCAGCGTACTGTTGCATGTAAAAATCTGTCCATCCACCAAATGGTGTGAAGTTGTACTAAAAATTTTTATTCATATAACCTCATAACACGCTACACTAGAACCGGCTCACCTTTATCCCATCATTGTGATATCCCCAATAGGGCCACCACAGTTTTTTATGTTTCCACTTATCCCAGTTTCCAACGATAGCATCCCAGTTATATTTGTTTGTGTAGATCCCCCATTCCACGTTCATCTCCTATTGATTGGAGGACTATATGTCGCCGAATGTGAGAGGGTCCCACGCGGACTTCTCGCAGGAACGCATCTCCGTGCATATGAAACGGTGCGTATTTGTTGTAAATGACCATTGTAAATGACCACAGGGACCCCCCCCCCCCTTTCCGCGACATAAAGTCCTCTACACCCTTAAATTTGAATGATAGTGTTAGAATTGTAGCCTTCCGTAGTCAATAGCTCTTTGAATTGTGGACCAATTTTCCGATTAAATGGCATTTCTTGCAAATCGTAGTTTGGAAATATGAAGAAAGTGACGGTTTTTTCTAGCAGTTTACATAATTTCAAATTTCCATATTTGCTGGTCAATTGGCTAGGGCTTGGATGTGTCAATTTACAATTTTCCTCATATGCACATTCGCTACAGCTTGAGAAAATCGGAACATAAATTAGGTTGTCCCAAAAATAAACTCCTTTTTTGAATAAATCAAGCTGTTTTTGTTTTCCTAGTATAGTTAGGGCATCGTTTGATAAAGCACATCAAGCTCTACAAAATGACCGCCAAGGGTCCGCCTAAGTCGCCTTCCATGTAACGTTTCAGCCAAAATCGAGAAAAATTTTGTCACCTGAAAAATGGATTTCTGCGACAAAGAACCCTACAAATCTCCAACTTGGTCATTATACAGTAGGCATATAGTAGTACACAAATATGCCTTTGCCGAATTTTTTCCGAACATAGAAAGCGAGGAACAAAATTGTCCAAAAATGGCAAACTCCGCCCCCCAGCCCCTCCCACAGATGTCATCGTGTACTACAAGCCTTACTAAGCGTAACAAAACCTTAGTCCTGTATTTGCTCTTATAATCGAGAAATACCAAGTTTATTAAAAACCCGAAAAATGTGGCAATTTGGCATTTTGGGACCCTACTTGTTTCTCAATTTTGAGCCCCGGAAAAAATCCACCTAATACATTCTTGGGACTACTATGTGTCTAGTATATAAAGACTAAGCTGGAAGACGTAGGGATTTTCTGGAAGGAGATCCAATTTTTTAGTGTTGCTAAAAGAATTATGATTTTTGGCTCCGAAATTTACCTAGATTAAGAATTAGGTGGAACTTTGGTAGTCTTCTTGTACAGCTTGCTGCGATCCACCGAATGGTACCCTAAATCTGTCAAAAAAGCAAAAAGCTCATGTTATTTGAAAATGGAGTTTTCTTTTGGGACAACCTAATAAATATACTTGGGATTTAGCCTTACACGGTTTGGCTAATATAGCATAAATTTAGTAGCTGAGGAAGAAACTTCTATGCGCTCCCATGGTAAGATAGTTGAAGGCAGTCTCCGGGCAAAAACTAGATTTTGAAATTTCATGCTTACCCGAGCCTATTAGCTATGCTGAAAAATCCACAGTGGAGAGCGCGAAAACGGCGAAAAAGGGCTCTGACGCAGGAGGGAAATCAGCAAGTGGGCGGGGTCTTTCCCACTGTGAATTCACGCTCCCAGCTCCCGGAGCGATCTTTTCGGTTTCAATTTTGAATTGCGCGTTCGCACTTGGCTAGCGATGTCAGGGCGGGTAGCGAAATCGAAGAGACCGTTCTAGAAGCTGAGAGCGTGAATTCGCAGTGGGGAAGAACTCGCCCACTTGCTTTTTCCCTCCTGCGTTAGAGCCCTTTTCGTCGTTTTCGCGCTATCCAGCGTGGATTTTCGGATTCAGCATAGCGAATAGGCCCGGGTAAGCACAAATCTCAAAATTGAGTTTTTGCCCGGACACTGCCTTTAATGTGAATGCCTTTAATGGAGACTTACCTCTAGTTTCTGACCCATTGCATCAATAGTCTTACGATTTTCTTCCTTGTCACTTGGCCAATCAAAGTCACTCGGCCAATCAAACTTTTGTATGTCCAAAAAGACCATTCCATAACTGGCACCTTTGTCATTCAGAAGATTTATTGTCTTTTCAACCTGCAAGACACTTTTGCTACATAACACCAAATTATGTGCTAGTCACGTGCAAGCAACAACGCGGTATACATACCTGATCTTGCACAGGCGCGCATTTTGGAAAATTCAGGCAAGGATAAATGTAAACGCTCACGTAAAAGCCAGCTGCAACCATGAGATTGTTCTAGCGTGTTACCAAGGAAGATGAGATGGTACTAATGGCAGTACAGTTGTTTCAAACAAGCTTCAATGCAAGCAGTGACCTTCATAAGCATTCCTTATGTTCTGCAAGCCGTTCCAGTCGAATTTTCCCAAGCTCATCCATATTCTACCAATAAAGAACATGTAACCATTGTCTTTCAAGCAACGGAAGGTGTCCATATACAAATCCTTCTAAAAGTATATCATTTACTACATTTGACCTTTCATTACCATACATGTTGATAAAAATTTAAGTGTACTGTCGAACGGTGAAGGATTATTTTGGTATGAGACTAAGTTGATGTTTAAGATTTCAGGAATGGCTGTCACTGATTGAGGAAATGACGATGTATATCATTCATCTTGCCTTGAAAATGTAGCGAAAAATATACTTGATAGCTTTTCTTTGTGGCACCCCTTTCAGTATCACTTGAGGCCCGTAGTAAACTCTCCTTCACCTCAGTGAAACTTAGCTGAACTCCCATTTATCAGAAGAACTTCGCAAGCTCAAGTGACTTCCATCGACCCCTTGCATGCAAGTCAGAATGCCGTACAAGTGAAGCGGTCATCTCAACGCCCTACCCGCAAGTCAAAGGTAGGTCGTATTTTGAACTGGCGATAGTGTGCAAAGCGGAGAACCATAGAGGAACTCGTAAGTTGCTTGCGGGTAACTTACGGGACCTGAGAGATGAAGACTGAAAATTGAAGAGATACCACGAAAAATTCGCAGAACTGCAAATTTGGAAAGCGTGCGGATGGAAAGAATCGATAAATAGCTGATTTCAGCAGGAAAGATAATGAAACGTTTTCTAATTGTGAGTTCTAAGAGTATGTGTGCCAAATTTTTTGCATTTGTTTCATTTCGTTTGCTATGCGAATCAATAGCGGGCAATTTTTTGGTACTGGACGCAATCAGAAAACGCCCTACAGCTAGTGACATCATAAGCCGGTAACCTGGCCCTGTTTCTTGAAACACTACGACGTACCATTCGAAAACTGCACAAATTCATTTTTCTTCGACAACGCATACGGTCACTTTTTCTATAGAGGGGTAGAGGACTACATGTTATGTCACCGAAAAGGGGAAAGGCAGTCAGCAACAAATACGCGCCCTTGCACATGCACGGAGTAGGTAGAGAGCTATATGTCGCCGAAAGTGGAAGGGTCTCGGACAATGCAGCACCCATATACTACTCAGCCTGTACATGTATAGGAATGTGTATTTGTTGCAAACTCCCGGCGGTACGTCTTACTTTCACATATAGCCCTCTACCCTCTACAGAACGGGCGCGCCGAGATTAATTGAGCTATTGATACTGCACTAGCTCGCCGTTAGTTCAACTCGGCCCTTCTCACCCGAGTTAGTTTACTATGGGCCTGAGTTTCCAACAAAAACAGGACTTAATTCATTTTGTATTATATAATCTTACCTGTACACTATCAAATCCCATGATGGCAGCAGAAATGCCGAATAAAGCTGTCAAAACGACGCATCGAAAACGTATGAATTGTACTGCAGTGAAGCTGACAAACCAGAGACAGTAAACTTACAACATATCTTGGCAAATGTGTTTCACATCCATTTTGACTTTTACTATAATTGTTCATGGTTACAAAACACGCAGTTACTACTAGGTCTTTTTACGGTACGCAGGCTCCAAAGCTACAAATGAGAGCAAGATTTTCCATCATTAAGATCGTGCGCAGATTTGTTGCGATGATGTATTCAGAAGTAACAAAATGTGTGAGGGCGGATGACAGGAGTCAAAAGACTCTTCCACGCAAATGAGAATGTGCGGAATCCACGACATGATATAATTTTGCATCAACAACGTACTCTGATCAATTGAATTCCCCCAATTTTTTCTTGGGTATGAGGGAAGTGTTAGCAAGCAAACCTATGCGATGTTTGTGGATACTACTTAAATAAGCACTGAAATGCGAAAAACGCCCATAACTCGGCGCCCAGAGGCGGTTGGCATATAATGGCAGATTTGCCATCACTGCACAGTACTCTTGAAAGCAGTATGGGTCTCATCTGAAAAGGCCACTTCAACTGAAATCGCTTTTTGTAAGACCTTCCCAACACTATATGAGATGTCCACTTCAAAAGGTTGAAGGCAAAGGGAACAAAATCGCCTATTTGCTTAGATATTCCGGTGTCGAGTATCAGAGCAGTTCATGCAATGGATACATTTTGTCTTATATGCTAGTACTAAACACTGCTTTACCTGAGCGCTGGAAATATTGTAACGGTTGATTTTACCCAAATTCCGCATTCATTTTTCGTTCCAAAAAACGGTCATAACTCGGCGTCTAGAGGCGCTCGGCAGATAATGAAGGCAGATTCGGAGCCACCGCGCAATGTCCTTCACAGTGGTATGAGTCCCATAAAACGCCACTTCGACTAAGAACGCTTCCCTTATTAGCTAATACACGTGCTATCACACGCGGTGCACCTTATTTCGTTCAAAATTAAGAACTCTCTCTAAACTCCGGATTAGACGATAATCTATCGGTAGCTCTCAAAATCTTCGAGACAGCAAATGGTCATGATGAATATGTCGCCCACAAAAAAAAACACTCGAGCCACCGTATGAACAATGACTTTATTAAAAACTTCAGATTAGTGCTAGAGAAGAAATGTAAGTATCCAAATTTCCTTCTGGTCTCAAGACCAGTACAGGTACGTTGTAAACTCCTTCAGATAGGAGCATGCCGAGCTAATGTCAAATAATTCTGTTAAATAGATGCGAAGACTAAAAGATTATGTAACGCTGCTGAGTAATTTGACTTCATCTGTGTGCTGGATTGCGAAAACCCTCAAATGAAAAAAGCGGGATTCATTTGCGCCCGTAAAGCTCACAAGGGAACTTGTTTAGACAAAGTGACCTATTTAGTAGGTCATTCGGAAAGTTTTTTCGCTTTTTGTGCGTTTGAAGTTGGTACCATATTTTAAGAGAGTGCCAGAGGGCTGATAGGGGTTGCTATATATGGATCTGTAGAGGTAGTCTTCTAGTCTCTGAGGATTCCACCGAGGTTGCATTAAACGCTGTGTAGGGAAGTTTACGCGGCTTTAAATTCGACATACGAAAACGCGAATTTCGAATAATTGTATCCTCTAAGCTTAAACTTGAGTGCAAGACCGTTGAGGAAACCATCATTGTGCGCAATGCATTTGCCAAGACCACGTCTTTCTTGAGGGAGTTCCTGCCACATAAACGAGCATCTCAGAGGGTCCTCTAAAACAAATCGCAAATATAGCTGCGTAAAATTATCAGCGCCTTGACGTGTCATATAACCCCATTAGAAGCCACCTTCGCTAAAGCTGCAATACCGAAAATTTCAGTGACATATACTCCTCTACAAATTGTCGCGCTCGCAGATTGAGGGCGCGTTGACTCTGCTTTCGTTGCTCATAATTTGATGAAGCAATCCTTTTGGGCCTGGGTTATTGATTACAGCAAAAAATTGGCCAAGTACGGCTACATGAAGCGTTATTGTGGTAAGTCATTTAGAATAAGCATTAAAAGCATGACCAGAACAATCAGTCATTCCAAAAGGTTGATGTATTCAAATTAATGTAATCCTGCTGGTCTTGTACGCTATAAAATTGCTAAGTTGCGGTTGTACTGTAAGAGCAGAGTAGTGTGATATCGCCCTGAAGACCGTTTGTCCAAATTCAAAAACTGAGCAGACTTTCACATATAAGCTATGAGAGGTGCCATCCACGCCCATGACTCTGCCAAACCACATGTAAGAAAAGTGGCTATCACAAAAGAGGTTGACTGCGCACCGAGGTTCCTGTTTATTTTTCAAACTCTTTAGAGCTTCCTTTACCAATCATCAAATTTTCTAATTCCTCGGTGCCTATCAAAAAATAATAGGACGTAATAAAGATTAGCTAGTCAAAAACGCCTTTTTAGGCTTTATTGATTCCTGAAATTATTTCGCAAGAAAAAAGTACAAGAGGGCTATATGAGTGTTACCATTAATTTACTGAACACAATGCAATTTATCTGATGGAAAAAGGTTGAATCTGGAAAAAATTGTACTCGTTTGAATTTGGAGGTGCGAAAACGAAAAAACTTTCCGAATGACCTAATACTCAGACAAATGCTGGGGGCAGGCTGGCACCGGAAAAATAGATTGCTAATTTCTCGCAATCCGCTCGCGGATTTTTTGCAAAGCAATCAGGACTTTTCGGAAGACCGCTTGCTGAGCCAGCGATTTTTGAAAGACCGCCTGTTGGATTTTTTTTTTCGCTCTTATATTTTGCAGATATATTGCTGAATCTCTGAGGAATCGAGAACTCAGCAAACGGTCTTCCGAAAAGTCCTGATTGCCTTCCAAAAAATCCGCGCGCGGGGTGCGAGAGATCAGCAATCTATTTTTCCGGTGCCCGCCTGCCCCCGGCGATTGTCTGAGTAGATGAGGTGTGTGCCATACTGGAGAGCATAAAATGCTAATTCCAATTCCTGCTTTCTTATCTGCCGAACTTTCATGAACGAAGAGTTATGAGCTTTTATTTGAGTAAAAACTTACATGTGCAGATAGGACAAAAATTGCCGTACTATTATAATTTTTCTAGCCCTTCAATGGAGCAGTAATTACCAGAGCACCCTATTCAATAGATACAATCAAATAAAATATATACCTCACTAGGTTGCTGTCTTTAAGCTGGAGAGGTTTGAGCAACTTTATCATAGGTACACATTTTCATTTTTTCTTCAAAAAACTCTCATAACTTCTCGTTCATGAATGTTCCCATAGCGAAGGCAGATTAGAAATCAGTATATTATGCCCTCATCATGGTATACATCCCATCTAAAAAGGCCACTTCATCTTAACAAAGTTCCCTTGTCAATTTATTGTTGTAACTCTGTCAGAGCAATTTACATAGAGAAAAGATAGAAAAACATTCACTAGCAATAATAGTAGACGTTGAAGTTTGAGATAAGCTTGGGCTGTTCGCTTTATTGACATTTCGAATTGTGTAACTATTATTTCTTCTGCAACCGCACGTCTTTGATTCCGCGGCGAGACTATCTTTTGAATGATACGCGTCGTGTAGATCGCAGTATTTTTGCATTCGCTGCATTTGCAGAATACCAGTGTATTGAGGATCGTGTTTTCTCCAACTTCCTCATGTTACTTTTGCAATGATTAGTCAGCCAAATCAATATTTTTTTAATTCAAAATCACTTCATGGTATGCTCTAGATTGCCGGGAGTTGGTCAAGAGGCGCGGTCTATTCGGCTGCCACCAACTCGAAACTCCAGTTAAGTGTTATTTGGTCTTCAAAAAGTACCAGACAAAGTGCGTTGGATTTCTATCTATCTAAGGTTACCAATGCTAAGTTTGGTGGCCTTCGCTGGAAAACGAACCAAAATATCCAAGAGTTTGTTCTTACCTGCATTTCATGGGTTTTTGAGGTTCAAGATTGCTGTTTTGAATTGATCCCAAGACTAAGATAAAGACTAAGAAAAGCAAGATCAAGCAACTCAGCCAACTACTAATATATCTCCTGAAATTCAGATGCTTTCAGAATGTTATAAAACTTTACAATAAAAATCGCGCCTCTTGACATACATCCCAGATCGCCGATTAGGAGAGTTACTGAAGCAGATGCGTCTTATGACTCTTTGCACGATCATTGAGGAAGTTGCATAACAAATATCTTCTTTATGAGGAGGTCTAAATAAGAATGGCCGAATTTGCTAGCGTCTGCGATCCTTCAAACACCTAACCACAATACATATGTTTTTGAACGACTTCTGTTCTGTGATTTATATGTAAATATAGGTGTTTCGAATACGTTAGGGTCGCTGTTGACATCATTCAATTCCTGTAACTGCGAAAAACAGGATCTGTTTATTAGCGACGCATTACGCACATTCACGCTCCATTGTAAGAACTAGCCAACTAAGGCGGATAGTTCAAATTTTTTCCATGGTGGTGATTGCCGCCTCGAGATTGAGAGACCAAGGGCGCGAATACATAGCTATGTCTGCAATGCCGTCCACGTGCAAACGCGAAATGTCGACATCACAAGCGCAGCAGTTCGTCCACGCGTCCACGCGTTGTCCGCGTCGCGGGCGCACAATACAATACCACCCGTAATTTGTGAAAAAAAATGGCGGCGGCACTTAACTTACGCGGCGCCGCCGAAGTTAGGTGACTTTTGCCGCGTCGCGCGGCAAAAGTCAGCGGAAAAAGCGGCAAAAGTCACCTAACTTTGTCGCGCAACGCCGCGCAACGCCTAACTTCTTTATAGAAAAGACCTTATCTTGATCCAAAATTTATGAATTCTATATATAAGAGTACCATTCAACTCAGCTCGACGAGGCGCATCTTCCAATATACGGATGTGCATAGTTGTGGGATATAAGTTTCTTTCCTGGAATTTTAGTGTAAATGGACCATTCAGTGTGCTTATTCCAGAGGCTACGTACACATTCTATTGAGCACAGCAGAAATAGGGCAGGTATAGT